TGAGTTTCATTTGGCATGTTTGGCAGAAAAGTATAAAATGCCATTTTCCTTATTCAAATTATCGTTTGTGACCCTCGATCAATTTCATCAGATGGCTTGTTATTTGTTCAGACTTTTCGCCTTTAGATGCCTTCATTATTAAGGTAAATCAGCAGGGAAAAAAGGATAATTAATGTTTCTAACTCTTCTTTTTCATCAATAAAGATAATTACGTTTATACTTTTAAATGTGTCTCTTTTTGATGTTGGTTCAAGGGCAAAAACTGGAAGTCGTAGCTGCCCCTCCGCCTTACCTTTCATCTCAATCTAGCTTGCCCAGCACATCGAACTTCAGTCAACCCATGTAAGTTATTAATGCTACGTTCCATTTTTATATATTTGTAAATAATTATATATGTATATCTTTCGGGTTTCGGTATGTTACTTCCGAATCTTTCTATGAATTAAAATATATTATACTTCAGATTGTATTTGTAGATCGATCGTTGTTAGAGCCGATTCATTTCGCCCGATCTACTCTGCCCAGATTATCTGTATGGAGACAGAAGGTTAATAATACTTTAACACCAAGCTAACGCCCTTCTGGCTCCAAATAGACGCCGGGTTGACGCCGAGTTTGCACCCCGGCTTCCCCGCTCAGTGTTATTTAGGGTACGGATAGGCGTGTTCCCTCCTTTTAAAAACACCCCTAAGTCCGGTGTGTAAAGTCAATTTTGTGTACTACGAACCGGACTTTGGTGCGTGAAAAGTACCCCTTTACCGGGCATTTTGGTAACACGCATGCGGTCATTCCGACCCCGGAGTGGGGGGGGGGGGGGGGGGGGGGGTGCACTAAAAGGGAAAATCCTCAAAAATGAACAAGACATTATAATGTCATTTGAAAGTCATTATTATGATCACCACCAATTCTAATTTATATAATTTATGTTGATATACAGAAATCCGCCGATGTCACTTAAGTCATATCCACCAACTAGCCGACCAGGACAAGGACCAGGACCAGCAGTTAATCTTGGACCAAACACGACACTACCTTGTTACACCGAACCGAGTCCTGGAAATGATGTCCAGGACATTGATTTGTTTAACCTGTCTCTGCACCTCAACTTAAATCCATATCGGAAACTAGGACTTTCACTTGGCTTTTCACTTGATCAGTTAGACGCTTTCAAATTCAAGAACTGTAATTCTATTCCTGATGCTGGGCTAGATATGCTGAGGAGTTTGAAATCACACGTGGGTCATATCCGGAAGGATGATTTCAAAACATTCCTCACAAATGAAGCGAATCTTCCAACTTTGGTACAGTTTTGCTAGATAATTCGTGATGAACATGATGGCTGTGAATATATCAAAACGCTTTATGATATACAGTGGATTTTGCGATGCACAATTTTATAACTATATGAATTAGAAAGAAAAAAAAATTGTACGCTAAATTTTTGTTTGAATATCATTAAAGATTAAAGGTACTATGTCCCAGTTTCAGGCCAAAAAAATGAAAAAAATTCCAACGGCATTTGATAGATAATACTAATTTAGAACTTCCCTAAAAAAAAAGGGGGGGGGGACTTGAAATTGTCTTTACTGGGAAAATAACGACTATTAGTTGTCAAATCGACTCAAGTGCTACCAAGTCAATAATTAATAGTCTAATTTTCAGACCATTGTACCGAATGGTCGTATACGTTTTGTGCTGCACAAGATTCAATCAGTTTAATTTTGGCCATTAGAAAAAGTGATTAATAATATTGATGTAGACAAATGCTAATGTACCCTTTACAGCTCATTTTATGTATGTTATTACCAAAGAAGAAAAAGCCAGTCAGTCACTCAATAGTGTCTGGCAGTAAAGTCTAGCAAGTAAACGGGTTTCCTTGCATTATTTGAATATTATAGACACTGCTAACTATTAAATTTCACACATAGGACATACAGTACATATTCATAATTCCTGCAAAGTTCTACAGAATTTGATGTTGGCTGCAAAGGGGGACATAGTATCTTTAAGTGAGAACATCTTCTTATTAATTCAGCGTCGTGGATTTTATTCGATGTAGGCTTTGCGTTTCAGTTTGCATGGAAATGTATCTCTCATTTCCTTACACAAATTACTATTCCTTAAGGTTTCTAGTTTTTTTTTCTCGTAGTTTTGGCTTCCTGGTCATTTTAATCGGGGGGGGGGGCAGCGCAACAATCAATGGAACATTATAGAGACTAAATGGGGAAGGTCAAACTTTGCATTTTACCAACACACTTTAACAAATTACATTGTTTCGTTGGAGCGCAGCAGAAGAGCAGTAGATTTTTAATTTTGGGACTGAAACAATGTATTCTCAATCATGCTACATTAAAATGATCGTATAAAGAAAAAAGGGCAGGGGCCGCAACCCAGCAGTTCTTCCCCCCCCCCCCCCCCGTCCCAGGTTCTGTGGTCCGGTCATGTAATCTACTGCCAAAGAAAATAATTTAGCTGTATATAGTGCGCTATGTCATCATTATATACTTCATTGACATAACCGTTAGTCTTCTTACATTATGAAGAAACGTATAGGTGTTATGATATTCTTAGTAATATGTTCTTGACTTAGCTTAGCTAAATTTATTTTTCTGTGAATCATTGCTTTCATTTTGATGTACACTTAGGTCTTTCATGAAATATAATTGCTATATAGTTTTATCTTCTGTGAGTGACATACAGGTTTTATGATAATTATCATCGAAATTGAATTGACGCTATTGAATGTAATTGTAAGAGAGCATTATTATTATCATTGTGTTGCAATCTGACCTACTCTTCTATACATCCTCATCTATTTCTATCTTGTTGTAGGGATTGAGTAAAGGTGATCCTGGGTGCTATTATGACTCAAATAAAAAAAAGATGCGATGTGTTTATAAGTCAGGGTAATTATTTTATTCAATATGTCTTCCAGAAATTTTCCATCGTGATCTATATTCACAGTCAGTCTCGTGTCTCTTAATGCAGAGGATCCACTGTGTGTTAGGAATTACTTTCTTCGGAGGTGAATCTATACGCCAAGTTACAAGAGATTCCACTCACATGTATAGCATTTGATTTACTTAATGTTATAATGTCAATTACTAAGTCTCAACATTTGAGAGAGGATTTAAATATTCCGAGCAAGGTGTACCTTGTATTGCCGTCTCGATTCTAAGTATGTCTGGCTGATTTTGGAGTCTCCTGTGTGTGATCTGATGGCTGAAAAGCCCAATCATTGGCAGAAACGTTTACATGTTAGACAGGGTAAAACTGATCAGGGCTCCGTCTTACAAAGAGTTGCGATTGATCCGAATCAATCGCAAGTTTGCAGTCTCCTATCTCTTTTTTACGTAGTTGCGATTGATCAACGAGGCCTACAGGTAAAATATAATAATCGTTTGAGCTTAGTGAATGTGCGCTACTTTCACCAAAATTTAACCTTTTTTTCTTAATAAACAACAACACCAAGCTGTGCCTACAAATTGGAACTATAGGCCTGTAAAGCTCCAGTATGATATCATTATCCCACAGAAAAGAAAAAAATGGATCAATTTATATTAACATGATGTCGATTACCTTAAAATCTCCTTTTCATTTTTAATAACATATTTTGCTTTGATTAGGGGATCCAACTTGATTGACAGCTGATCAATGACTGTCATCAGTGAGCTTATTTCTAAATTTGTTTCTATAAATGTTATTACTTGTTAGCACATCATTGTTCTTGATAATGCATTGTATTACCAATACCAATATTTCCTTTCCATAGATGCCTATCTATCCATAATCATTGTCAAATTGCATCATCTTTATCATGATTATCATTATACTTACTGTCGATGTTATGTATGAAAAAAAGTCCGATATTATCTTCTTTTCTTGGTGGCAGATTTGTTGTTGTTGGGTCAGCCTATTACATTGATATTTTATATATTCAATACCAATAGCAGCTATATACAGTGCGTCCCAGAAAAAACGAAATCTAGTATTATCGATGTTTTATCATAACTTAATCACAATAATAGTTAATAAATTTTGTACAGCTTAGATCCTCTTTCATTAAGGTGCAACTCTATGATGCATATTTCACGCATGAGCGATTAAAAACAATTTGAAGAGAGGAAACCAAAAAGTCATTTGGCGGGCGGTATTTGAATTTCAAAGGGAAAATAACATTTCGAGAAAGTTCAATTTCTGCCCTTTCATAATACACCTCAATCAGGAAAAATGAGCCAGGATCAGTTAAGTTCTGTTTGATTAAAGTAATGCTTGCATTCCATAATGTTTAAACGAGTTCATTTTCCCTGACTAAAGATTTAACTCCGTTTTGTTGACGATCAGCCATGCATAAAGAAGACGAAAGACTTGATGCATGGCTGATCGTCAACGAAACGGAGTTAAAAGTCTTTTGTCAACTCTGTTTGTTGCTACGGCAGGCAGCCAGTGAAAACGAACTCGTTTAATCAAATTATGGAAATGCAAGCATTATAAATATGTGTCATTTATTAATTATAATTGCGATTAAATTATGATAAAACATCGATAATTCTCGGTTCGTATTTTCTGGGACGCACTGTATAATTATCGTAATTAAATTTTCAACAATAAAAAAGATGTATTAAGTATGGCTTTTGTTATACTTAACAGTTCCAATATTTGTATATGCTTTTGCTATTCAACATAGCTTTCAAATGTTATTAAAATGTTGGAACTAATCGTCTACAATGATTATTATGAGTCATCATTATTTTTAGTCTATACAGTTAGAACTTGCTTCCTATCCAGAAAAAACATTAGGAGACATAATATGTGTATGTATATGTAAGTCTTTCTGACTTGTATACAAGTCAGAAAGAGAGAGAGAAAAGAAGAAGAAGGAGAAGAAGAAGAAGAAGAAAAAGAAGAAGAAGAAGAAGAAGAAGAAGAAGAAGAAGAAGAAGAAGAAGAAGAAGCAGAAGAAGAAGGAGAAGGATTAGAGGGCAGGAGAGGGGGAGAGAGATAGAGAGAGAGGGAGAGAGAAGGCAAGAAAGGTCGAGGGAGAAGGAAAAATGGTCGAGATGATAGAGAAAAGTGGAGAAAGATGTGAAGAGCTAGAAAGAGCAAAGGAGAAGAGAGAGAGAGAGAGAGAGAGAGAGATAGAAGGGAGGGGGGGCGAAAATGAATTGTAAAGGACGGTTAGAAAATGTAAGCCTTCTGAACAAGATATTGGACAATGCCAGCCTTTTATTTTACATGATTTTAGAAGGCGACGAAAATGGTAAGGCCTTATGAAGGACTATATTATTGTCAACTATAGGCCTAGTATAAAATTTAATACCATTTTTGTTTTTGACTGATTTAAGTATTGGTCTCTGCTTATAGATAGGCACTACAGCCGGGGAGGTGTTCGCTGTTGCCACCCCCCCCCCCCCCCCCCCCACCCAACCCTCGCAACACACCCCTGTCGAATATGAAGAACCGCTCTTTAATTTTTACAGTAGGTTTGAAACGCTCTCCCTAAGTATAATCTCCAAAATGTGGGTGGGGCACTTTGAAGTAAGCATACCTGCCTTGTCCGCGGCCACCCCCCCCCTCCCCCCTCTGGATCCGATTATAAAAGAACCTACTCTCGTCAGAAGTGTCAGTATTTCTCGTGACTGAAACAAATATTAATATGCAGCGCTAGGATGGCTAGGTTAGGTTTAAAAATGTCGCATCCGGGTCCGGTCACCGGCTAAAGTAACGTGTACTTCCGGTAACAATCAACAAGATCAAGGGACACGGTGGCAAAAACTTAAAAGGCAAAGCGCTTACAGAAGACACGGAAAAATGGAGAAACTGTACCATGAAACAAATAAGTAAGTTACCAGCATCAAAGCTAAACATATGTATACTACACAATTGTTTGCAAATTGTCCAAAGACGAGTATATATGTGATTTTTCATATGCTGTTTAAACATCTGGAATTGTGAACAGTCCCGTGTGTAATTTGCTGTGTTAGCTAAATTGGAGAAAGGCGCAAGAAATTCGAGTCGATGTCGTCGGCCTCGGCTACATCACGTACACGTATCGAGAAAAAAAAGGACAATGGGAGAAGAAGGAGAAGAAAAAGAAACGTATATATAGCCATAGGACCATAGGCATAGCAAATTTACCACATGTTTCAATGGGATATACTGTGAAAGTTGAGATAATCGCAGTAGATTCTAGGTCGAGTATAGACCGAATTTTCCGTCTCTTTCGTTCGTTAGCCTCTTATTGGGGTAGGGTCGGCTCTCTCTTTAGAGACGGAAACCGTCTATACACATTCCCTTGATAACGCCACGGCCATTTCAGGTCGTAGCGTTTTGCCCCCAAAATCCCCCAAAATGTCATTTTACCTCATGCATTGATTATTTAAAATTAGGAGAAGGTTATACTACATCGGTTCCACTTACCAACTTGACTGAAATAATCCGTTTAATGGTCCCTTTTAAGGAAATTATGGGTCAAAATCGACATCCATGTTGAAATCTTGCAAGCCGTGTTAAACTCTCGCTGCGCACGAAGTCATCTAAATCAATCTCATCCCTTTTAGTCTACGCCGAAGGCAAAACGATTATGAAGGAAAAACTGTGATAACGCCATTACGAACGTGTAGATGGCGCACAGTTTTTCCTTCATAATCGTTTTGCCTTCGGCGTAGACTAAAAGGGATGAGATTGATTTAGATGACTTCGTGCGCAGCGAGAGTTTAACACGGCTTGCAAGATTTCAACATGGATGTCGATTTTGACCCATAATTTCCTTAAAAGGGACCATTAAATGGATTATTTCAGTCAAGTTGGTAAGTGGAACCGATGTAGTATAACCTTCTCCTAATTTTAAATAATCAATGCATGAGGTAAAATGACATTTTGGGGGATTTTGGGGGCAAAACGCTACGACCTGAAATGGCCGTGGCGTTATCAAGGGAATGTGTATAGACGGTTTCCGTCTCTAAAGAGAGAGCCGGCCGACCCTACCCCAATAAGAGGCTAACGAACGAAAGAGACAGAAAATTCGGTCTAGGTCGAGTAGGGTCTAGTTCCTAGGCCTACATTTTCACGGATCTAGAAGTCGTGAAAATATAAGCATGACTTCTCATGGAGTCATACATGTTTCGAACTGGCTGAATTGCGTGCAACGCGAATTTTCAGAACCAGCGAATATATTTTGAAAAATTAATCGCATAAATCTAGGCCTATCGTGAAAAGATGGCCAGTTTAACTTTCGCTTTCAGTTTCAATTTCCAATAGCCAAATGAGGATTGCGATTGTCGAAAATGTATATTGCATATTATTATTACGCATCTGTCTACTTCACAATAAGTCATGCCATATAGGCTGTTATGGGTTTGTCTTGTCTGTGAGTGTGAGGGTTTATTTCTGGGGCACAAAGCCAAGCTACATAATATAAATTTGCAGTATAAGTGGAGGGCAGAGGTCGTTCAAGATTTTCTTTTGGCATGGTTGAGGATGAGGCAGGGCTCAACATTGACAGGTGCCGGGACACATGGCAGCCCAAAATCTTTGTCCGAACCTCTACATTTTAGTAATTTTACATCTGGCTCCTTCATACAGCCTGTAAAGAGTTTAACCCGGACCCCCTTCTAAAGTAATCAGTGTGGAGCCCGGGATTAGGTCTGGGTTGGGTAGGAGGGTTGCTTGTGTAATGGCTGGGGCTTGTCTCTGTCTAGTGTTTAGGGTATCTGGTTTTTCTATTTCTAGGAGCTTCTGGTTTTGATGGGTAGTCTATGAACTTGTAATTATGATCATTTAGTGAAATGCTGCCCTCGGTGATGATGCAAATTGCCAAGTCAGTTTGACAAACTATGAATTCAAAAGTTTTCCAAAATCAGAAATTTAACTAGGATTTTTTCGTACAATTGACTTTTTGCAAGTACTCGATAACAATGGCATGATGCTCTTTTACCGACCATTTCAGTGATTCAACAAATCAAACCACTCTCAGATCTAGATTTACTTCCCAAATTTTACAGATATCTGTCATCTGATATTCCAAAAATTTCCAATCATCAAGCAGGAGAACTAAATTTGTGTAGGAACTGAACATTCACTGATCGCTTACTTGCGCTAAACTTGATCGCTTATAATTTCATTATCATTTACCTTTCAGAATTGTGCTTGATGTGCAGAATGGACTGAGTCGTGTTGAACAAGCAAGGAAAGAGGATGCTCATTGTAAGTTGATGGATTGATTTTGAAAGAGAAAGCTGATTAAACCCCACAAAGTATGCATCAACATGCTGCATACATTTTTGTTAAAAAAATATTAGAATTTCATTTTTCCCAGATTAAATATTTTAAAGAAGACCTGAATCAGATTCAAACTCAGAATACATGTACAGGGTAACATGTGTGCATGATACTATGTATGAACCAGTATTAGAAATTGATACAAGATATTTTGCAATGTATAGTGATGAATAAGGGACACTCCTGCTATTGGTACAACAATTAAAGATATTCATCACAGTTACATATTTTTTTTCTTCACACCAGCACAACTCAAGTGAATAATATGGAATTTGAAAAGAATGATTTTGTTCATTTTGGTAATGAATTTAGTATTGAATATAACAAGTACTAAATCTAAGAAATATCTTAACATTTACTTTTTAGTGGCTGAGAATGAGATCAAAGCAAGGCTGGATAACCTGGCTAGTAATTGTGATACGCTGGACATTCTTGTTAACAAAGAACCGGTAGCAAGACGGCAGAATGCAAAATTGTGAGTACTTCTGCGTTTTTTATTTTGTTTTTACTTTCTTCATCTTGATATCAACGTCAGGAGTGAGTTAAAGTTTGCATCTTGACAGGAATGCATTGATTAAACACCTGCATGTAAAGAGAGATTTTCAGAAATTGTTGATAGAAAGTGGATATTTAAAAATTTCATGTTGCATTATAATAATAATAATAAGATGAATCCTTTTTTTCTTCGTTATGACAACTCCTACATTTGTAAAGATTAATAAAGGACAGGAGTAACCTTCCACCTTTTTTTATGTCATTTAAGAGTCTGAATATTTGCCTTCTGGGCGCACCTACAGTATACAGAGTTAACTCGGATAAAGAAAAACTTCTGTAGCATTCAAAGATCCCGTTTCCCCCTCTCATTCTTACCATGCAACTTTAATATGAAATTATTCTCTGTTGACAGTACAATAACTTTGATCCACTTCCGGAACTTACATATGAATTATGCATGCATGCGGCACGGAAGTTACACTTACGTGTAGTATGAATGCGCAGTATACGTATCTTGAAGCTTTCTAGATTCCTCTCTTGTTGACTGGTACTTACTTCCTTGGGTTTTTTACAAGTCACACCAAATTTTATGGAATAATACATTCAGTCAAGCGTGACATAGTGTGAGAGTGTCTACTTTATTTCAAGCGATACTGTACTTGTGAAATCTCACTGCATGTCCATAAATTTTGTAATTTTTCTCTGTCAAAATGCCTCGGAACAGAGTCGCCATCATGCAGTGATTTTAAACATGTCTTGCCTTTGGAGCAACTTTTTCCAGGTTGTGTGCTGTGTTGGGAATTTTACCCAAGTCACATCTCTCATTCAGGGATATCTCTGAAGGTTTTGTTTTTAATTTGGGTGCGACTAGCACACAGCAGATTCACGCTATTGCACCATATTCCAACTGACAATTCAGTTTGTTAAAAATAGAAAATTGCTTACAATGTACGAAGTGAAAGGTACCACCTTCCAACTATTGCAATGTGTTTACACAGCTAGCTCGGTCACTACCTGCTGCCGCTGGCTGAGACTAGACTGAACAGCACAGTACAGTCACACCGGTTAGACCGGAAGCGACTAAGTCACCAAGCTAATTCAGAGTGCATTTGAAATGAGGGTGTGAAAGTAACATCCAGGCATTTTGGGGTATTGGCGATTCCCAAGAATTTACCATTTTATCCTTGACATGTTTTTCGAAATAGGAAAGTTGACCAACTGAAGTATGACTGCCAACATCTGAATGCAGCCCTACGCCAGATACAACACAGACGTTATCAAAGGGAACAAGAGGATAAAGATAGAGAAGACCTTCTCACCCGTCGATTCACAGCCAATGTAAGACAATGCCTCTTGGGATGGAGTTAAACAGATTGAGGATTGCTAGTGAAATTAGAAATAATCACTTATCATTTTCATTTAAATCTGGGTAAAATTCACTTTCATGAGGTTAGGTTTTTACACTGACTCAGAGAATTACACCAATTTATGTTCCCATTCTCACTACTGCTATTACGTTATTGGGCCATACAGGGTAGCGATGGCCATGTGTATATTTGGCAAAGGCATTGCTGGTGCCCATACAAATACAATGGGTTGGAAACTGGAAAGTTTGATAGAAATTATAGTTTAATAAACTAAAGTAACTGATTATGATGATACCTACATATATAGATCTCTACATCAAATCATCTGGGGAGTTCATGAAACCTGAACAATAGTTTAGTAAAATAGGGAATTAGTTGTCACTGCTGTACATTCTATATGAAAGCCAGAAGAAAATTTGTCTTGTCGTCTTCCCCAGTATTGTATCTGCGCATGTGTCCCCTTGCGCAGTGTGGGAACAAGGTCGCCATATTCTGTCGAACATGATATTTGCGGTGGGGTCAATTTTGAGGTAAAACCATAAAGAGTCGGGCAAGACGTTTTCTTTCAAATGGAAACATCCTATTAGCTGCATTGGATGATGGAAATGTTGAAAGAATGTTTGTAACATATGCTCATAAATTAGGGCCCAGTTTCACAAAACGTGTTATCAATAACAAATTACAATACCGGTAAGTGTTATAAGCTTCTGAAATGTCTGCATTTGATTGGCTTGGGGTGAATTTGTCATTGAATTTTGACACTTGTTAGTGATGACAAGTTTCATGACACAGGCCCCAGATCATTCTTCCGATGATCCGTCCCAACTAATAGTACATCAGTTCTACCATTCATATATTTTGTTTTAAATGTCCATTACATTTGTCATTTCTCAATCTCTTAGGATGATAATACATCAATAATGATAGACCATGAGCTGCAGCATAACACATCATTACACAACAGCCATAGAGAGATGGATAACCTCCTAGCGTCAGGTTCAGCTACGATTACTAACCTCAGAGACCAACGGGGAATGCTCAAGGCAAGTCAAACAAGAGACATGTACAGTCAAACCTGCTTTAGTGACCACCTGTCTACAAGGACCACATTTTTTGTTTCCCTTGAAAATGGTTTCTCATTGAAACATGTACTTAAGGAACCTGTCTATAAAGACCACCTGTCTACAAAGGCCACTTTTTGTGTTTCCCTTGGGCGGTCGCTATAGACAGGTTTGACTGTACAAGGATGATGTTTTTCAGACTTTGTCTAATTGCAGGCCCTATCACGCCTCTGTTTCAAACCCTTTCAGGCTCTATATTGTACAGAAGGGATCCAATGTGCATTGTTAACTTTTCAGTTTTTACAGATAAAACCAACTGGTATCTCTGCATGTGATAATACAGCTGATCTTGAGTTATGGTAATCAAATTTTACAGCAAGAGAAACTAGCTGAAAAAAATCTGAATTGTTCATCATGCAAGAAAATATAAATCATAACAGACACTATAGACAATTTCTTCTTCCTCACCCATCGCATCGTGCTTACACCTATTTGAAAATAATGTGAAGTTGTCTGAACATGAGCAAGGTTTCTCCAGAAGCTCCTCTCACTATTTCAGTTTCTGAAAAGATATCAATAATTCTTAATGGTTTTCCTGTATTCATACAGACTGAACCCTTGATCTGCAAATGAACAAAACACTAAGTACAGCTATCTTCTGAAAGAAAAAAAATCTTTAACAAAACTTTTTGGTCAAAATTTATTTCCATTAAACTTTTACACTTACATTGTTTAATCACAGATATGTATCTAACTTTTCTTTCTATGATTATTTGAGTTGGTGAGTGTAATGCACAGCATGTTTGGTGTTTGTTTAGTATTATTTTCAGCTATTAATCACAAACCATGGTAGAATGTGATGGTAATTCCAATTCCTTGTTCTCTCATTCTGCAGGGAGCCCAGAGAAAGATGCTAGACGTGAGCAACATGTTAGGACTCAGCAACACGGTCATGAGACTCATTGAAAAAAGGACTTTCCAGGACAAAATCATCCTCTTTGGGGGCATGATCCTGACTCTAATCGTCATGTATTACATCTACAAGTACTTTGGTTGATAGAGCTACAGCCAATGAAGATAGATATCATGCCGATCAATTGGAACAATGGTGGTGTCACAGGATACAAACTCTGATTGGACACGGACGTGATTCTGCCAGTCTTGCATTGCACTTCTTGATGTTCCCACCGTTCATTCTGCTTAAAAGCAAAGATTCAAAGAATACAGATAAGATTCCATTTAGATATGTGTTTCTGTATTCTATTTTCTTTTGTTGTATAAAGTTCAAATGCCAATATATCCAGGCCCTCTTGTATAAAAAGGTTAATTAAATACAACTCAAAAAAAGGAAGCACGTCTTGATTTTTATCCAATCAGGACTTACCTGGATTATTTTTTTAGTTTCATTTAATTGCCTCATTTTATGCAATAGGCCTGAGGGCCCTGCAGTGAAAGTGTCTTGTAAAGAGTTGTGAGTGATGCCCATGATTGCAACACAACTTTAGTTTGATATCATGCAACACTTTATGTAAGACATTGGCAATTGTTTACTCTACGTTGCTTGGACTAGTTGCGATTGATTCAGATCATTAGCAGCTATTTTGGTTGTGACAGACCAAATTAAAGAAACTGATGACAAATTGTGAATTTTATGTTTATTACCTTTTTGAGGAGGTGTAGGTATAGGTGAAGGCAATATTCTTGTTCATTTATTGTCTGTTGAGAGCCAGTAGGTGGTTATCTCATATACTTCAACACAATGTTAAAAGTCTTTTTTATACCCTTCTGTTTCAGAACAGGTGAATATTTTATAGTTTACTTACATGCATTCCCTTCCCACCATACCCCTCTCAACAATAGGGACTTTTAGATTTGCACGTTGTCAGCTTTGACTGCAACGTGTGACGTCATTTTAAGGCACTGCACATGCGTTACGACGTCTCAGTCGGCGATCGAGAATGCGTCAATCTTGATTTTCCTAAATCTAGTACATACATACATACATATTGATATTTATATAGCGCCTTTACATGCTCAAGGTACTAGTATGCTGCGTGCGCATAAAATATACAGTTCCTCAGGTAGACAAAGCCAGAACATCCCTTCCCTGCTATTATGTAAAAATGTGTAGAACAGGTGTCACATGCATATTCACCTGTTCTACACATTTTTACATAATAGCAGTGAAGGGATGTTCTTTTGTTGAGGGTAGAATGAGGAACTGTATATTTTGTCCTCTTTCTTTGTCCGTGATGTTCATAATGTTACTTCCTGAATGCATGTATATCGTCGAGTGCAATCTAAAAGATTTCTAATTGTAGTCAACATGGGCAGTTAAGTACGTTGACACGCATGATCAGTCGGCGTTTGTTGTGTTCTCGTCCACTCATTCTAAAAGTCCCTATTCAAGATCTCAGAGACCTGGGCCCTGTTTGATAATAACTTGTTCTTAATATCAAACAAGTTACAATAGCTTTTATAAGCTACTGAAATCATAGCATGTGATTGGCTGAGAGCAGATTTGTCGAGATACTTAGCATTGAGTACAAGTTTTATGAAATGGGGCTCTGTTCTCCAGTAGAATCTCCAGCCATATTCTGTGTGAGTTGATGATTCATATTTCTGTTGTATATCATGGCCAGTTCTCCTTGATTGCTTTTATGGTTCTGTTAAGAACAGGGTACATTACATGTGGCATTTAATTAGGTAATGAATTGTAGGATATCACACCTGAAGACACATGGTAGTACTCGTGATTGTATCAATCATGTAATTGGGGTGAGTGGCCCTTCTAAATAGTCAATATTATTATAATTATTATCATTATTACAGAAGTACACCTACTAGCCTACAAACAAGTCGCTTATATGTAAATTAAGCATATATCTAAAGTTGCATCTCTTTATTCTCTTTTTAAAACTTAACAAAAAAAATTATATTTTGAGTATTGTATAGTGACATGGAACCACAAACATCCCAAATAAAACAGCTTTTTGATGACTTATACACTTTTAATACTTTTTGATGTACTAGTAATATTTTCTGATGCTCTGTCAGTCAATGCTACAATTACCTGGCCTGTGGTAGGGCCAATTATTGCATAATAATAATAATAATATTCCGTACTTATATAGCGCATATCACAATATGTCTCTATGCGCTGTAAGAAAGAGTAAGAAGGAAAGGTGGATAGAGTAACATAAGAAGAGAGAGATATGCTCAACATACTTCCTCTCATTAACATTGGAAAGTATTTTTGAAAAGAAATGATTTAAGACGCGCCTTAAAGTTGTCAACAGTATCACAGTTTTTAGATTTTCCGGTAGTTTATTCCAAAGTTCGGCCGATCCAACCTGAAAAGAGGGAGCCCCATAGAATTTAGTATTTATTTGTGGAATGATGAGAAGAGACTTTTGAGGGTTCTGTTTGGAACATATACCGTAGTGTAAGTAATTTTGTTAAATAAGTAGGAGCTAATCCTTTGAGGCACTTAAAGGGAAGCATGAGGAACCGGTCGAGTCATAGAAATATCTGCAAGTGACTTTCGAGCATCATAGCTCATTCTAGGTGATTTTCAGGCCCTCTGATCAATTCTAACTGGCATCCCTGATACATTCCAAAATTCAACATTTGAAATTCATTTTCATCATGTTTTAACTTCACTAAGTGGTAGAACATGTTCTCATGAATGATGAGAATATATTTGTTTATTTATTGTCTAATAATTATAGCACTGATTAAATGGAATAGTAATGCCTATACCTGCTGTATGAACAGTGTGTTCGATGAAAGAAATAGTGACTATCCAACTCCAGGTACCGGTTTTAGATAATGATATAAAGCTATGAATTGAGCTTGCAACTGATACATGTGACAAAGTAAATGAGAAAGACAAGCATGGTACAACCAATTTGCCATAATGATATGAAGGCTCAAATATAAACAAACATGTCTATGATAATTGGAATCAAAGCAACTTATGTTTAGTGTCATTCTTATCATCAATGATGAAATTATAAGTGCAGATAGTTCATTGTAAAGTAAAGTATATTCTCAGAGTGTATTGAAAACGGTATTCACATCATTGCGAATCTCATTTTGTCAGATTGTGTGATGGAATTGACTTCTTCTTCTTTTTTAAAAATCTGTACACTATTGATTTCATGCAGACTGTCACATTTCCTCAGTTACCCGCAAGAAGGCCATTATTGCCATTGACAATACATGGCTCTTACAGCCTTCTTACAAGGAGCCAAGGAATGACAAAACTGCCTGATGTTGAATTACGGGCATGTCTGCTTAGGGTATGCTACATTGATGGACATTTCTGTGCTCTTTGGACATTGTTTTTCATCCTGCTTGCCCGAATACACTACAAAGATATTCCATATAAGACTTATATGAGTGTGAGAACTTTGCTGGTATCAATCCATTTCTCTTAAAGTGATAAACATTGTAAGCACATTTCGAACTGGTGTATTCTTAGAATTCAGTACTCGACATGTTTCATATATTATCAGGTGGCCAATATTTCAAATTTGTACTCTAGGGGTTGCTAATGGTGGATAAAAATTCTAGATGACACAACATTTTTTAGAGAATGGACTTTTCCAGAATTGTGAATTTCCGTGGGAAGATTATTTATCATCTAATTTGTTGTGACACCTATGCGGGGGTTAATGTTCATTGTATGATGTTGTCTTTTATTTCAATTACATGTTGAACGTTCAAAACATTTCGATTAGGTCTTCATTTTTGCAGAATCTTACATTCTAATTGTTTTTGTAATGCTTGGGTAAGGTTGCCAGACAAACCATCTGATATTGATAATAACTTGAGTCCACACGGCTAGATAATAACATGTTCTTAGTTTATGTCATAAGTTGTTTTCTAAAATACTAATATTTCCAAAGAGGGTCGTTGGAGTTTTTGTCAAACATTTATTTGACTTTGATGGCTTTATTTGATGTACCACTGTGGCCTATTGTAATCTATAAGAAAACAATTAAAGTTTTTTAATATTTGTTCTTGTTTAACAATGGTTATATTTTCATTCTACCACCCATGGTAAGTTTCTTTGTCATAAACTTGAAAAAGTATGCCAATACATATAGTAAAAAAGGGAAGTGATATAATTGCCGGGCATGATTATGTAATTATGATAATTGTTATAAAAAAGGGATAAATTGATAATAGGGAAATGTTTATGTGATATTACTATATATACATGTATGTGTATGATTTGACTTGACATAAATAATTATACAGTACAAATTTTACTTTTGATCCTTTGCTGTTCTTGTTTAATTACAATCAGAAATTTGGAATTAGAAGCAGATACTTGTAAGACAAATATTTTATATATTGAAATATCCAATATGGAGATACAGAGAAAGATAGACAGAGAGGGAAGAAGGAGGAGAGAAACAGAAAAAGGGAGAGAAGGGGGCGAGAGAGACGCGAGAGATAGAGGGAGAGAAAGAGAGAGAGAGTGGGGTGGGGCGAGAGAGAGAGAGAGGGAGAGAGAGAGAGAGACAGAGAGAGAGAGGGGGTGGATGGGGGCGAAGGAGGAAGAGTAATGAGCCCAGTTGAGTATGATAATTATATTCATTAACCTTCCTACCTGATTTAATAGTTTATTCTACTTAGATTTATATTCTGTGATTTAAAGTGGAAATGAAAGAATATCCTACAGTGTATATTATTGATATTCCAGCGGATTTTTTATAAATAAAATAAACTTATATTACAGTCTGTTTACATTATAAAGTAATTAAATAGTAGTTATTTATAAGAGGTAGGATATGGACCTTTACCCAGGGAAAGTCCTTGTCAAATGGCCTACTTTCCCTAAATCGTTTCCAGCTTGCTGGTCCACTGTAAGACTTTATAATTACCAATGGACGCTAAGTGGGCGAGGGTGTGAGAGGGAAACGATTCATATAGGTCAAAGACGTTACAAATTATGAGTTGATCAAATCACTATCTCAGAGGGTTACACCTCCTTCAGGTTATGATTTGGGCCAAGAATATGATACTAGCAGTTTCCTTTTGTTTATATATAAATATTTGTTTGTATTACTGCAAAATGCATAAAATTGCTGGTTTTATATTTGTGGCCATCTAATTTGCTAAGTCATGTAATTGTTTTCATATTTTATCAGTTGGTGATTCTATTAACAATCTTGAGAAAAACTCTGGAGTAGCCGGCATTCCGAATTAGCGGGGAAACACATGTAATGAAGAGTCAAGAATAGCGTTTCTATTCGTCATAAAAGTAATATTAGATCCTATGCTCCTACAAAAGAAAGTTCTCATTTGTCAATTTTGTCACAAGTTGAATTCTCAACTTCGTTCCTGAACCCATCGCTATAGTTTACAAAGATCCGGCAACTCCAAAACTACGAAAATTCAAAGCTAAAATTACCGATAGCATTATTACCCTAATGCTCGTAGCAATAGCATTTTTGAAATACCTCGGGTCTTGTTCCGAAAGTAACTTAGACGAGAAAACTCTGGAAAAACTCGAGTTGAAGGTGAAGCACTGCCTATCAATTTGTATCGGCCTTTAATTAAGACCACTCGTGTTTTGGGCGGGTATTTAGTGCAAGGGCGTATTCCTTGTATATTTCCTGGCGAAATCCTCATCTAAATAAAAAGAAAAGCAAGGTGAGCATTAGTAATGAATTAGTACTAATGCGAAGGAGCTCGTTTAAAAGGAAGAGTTGATTTTAGAAATAATCTGACACTGCCAGAAAAGGTGATAAATTGGTTAGCAAATGAATGCCACTCTTTTGTCAAAATGTATGGGTAAATTTACTGATCATGAACAAAAATAAGAAGTGAAATT